CCCTCCTTCCACCCCGGCCACCATGAGTAAACTGTCTTTTCGAGCACGGGCTCTGGATGCCGTCAAGCCGCTGCCCGTCTACCGAGGCAACGACATGCCCGACCTCAACGACTGCGTGTCCATTAACCGGGCCGTGCCGCAGATGCCCACGGGGATGGAGAAGGAGGAGGAATCGGTAGGTAATCCCTTTGTCAGACATTGGCTATTCACGAAGGCACTTACGCCGGCCGGGCTGCGTAGGGCGCGCTGTGCGCAGCCTAGCTTACGTTACGTAGGGGAGGTGGACGGCGTAGTTGGCGGGAGCCGCCATGCTTGTGGCGTGCGAGGCCTACGTCACTGTGGAGCTGGAAGGCTGGCGTAAGCTGCGCTGTGAATAGGAAGTGTACGCAGCTCAGCCCGGCGTGTTTGATAACAACTGGAGTGCTGCATGGCTGGCTGTCAGTGTGTATGGAGGGCCTACAGCACATCTCAGACCCCGGACTGTACCCAGAGCTATTTGATCACTTATTTATGACATAATAACACATCTGAGCTGGTGACATGTGTACTTTTTAAATGTTGATATGATGTGGGCATTGTATGTGTGTCTATATAATTAATGCATTTGTTTTGATGCTTTATTACATGCAGATTGGTGTTTCTGTTGTGCATTTATACTATTCTGCATAGGCTTTTCCCCTTTGTTTTTTTTTCATTGATGCTCTTGACACTTCTAGCAGGATATTAAATTGCATCTAAATCCATTTACTAAACCTTTTTATAGGTTCTCTAACATTTTAATTGAATTTCAAAAGTTGTTTTCACTCCTTTTTAAAAAAAATAAATTTGTAGCTTTCATTTAAAATTCCCAGCGATCCCGCCATGGAGGTTCTCGTTCAGCCACTTCCTGCGTTGCCATGGTTTGTTCTACTGTTGTCACTGTCTGGAAGCCAGTCCAGGGCAATGATGTGCAGCAGATACTGAAGATGCATGTAGACAGGAAGTGGTTAGATGCGATTATCAGTACTGAGGCCCCATACATGCCTAAGTGTGAGCATAGTCGATTTATTATCATACAGGATTTATATAGCGCCAACAGTTTGCGCAGTGCTTTACAATATAAGGAATACGTTACAAGACAAGATGGTAAGGAGGGCCGGGCACGTGACTGCATGATTTAGAGGATTTTTTTGCACTCCTAATGTGCAGCACAGGAGCACAATCTTGTGTTTTTGGCCCCACAGACGTTTACATCGCAGTGACTGAAAACACTTCAGGTGCTCTCATTGAGCCTATAGGGTAATGTTAATACCTCACTCCCTCTAACTTTGTGAGGCAAGTGATGGCAGTGTAAGTCTGCTGTCCAGGTACCTCGCCAGAACTGTTTTTGGGTGCAGTAAATCAAGTAAAGTCACTCAGACTCCAAAACGATACCCAGTCAATCTCTTTATTGACCTTGGTAGTGTAACATCTCAAAGCGACATTTCAGAACCGCGTGGTTCCTTCTTCAGGCAAACAAGTCGTTTTGGAGTGCGAGTGACTTTTTACTTGATTTACGTGATCTGCGGAGGCATCTGCTGTCGCTAAACGCACCTACCCTACTATTGGGTGTTTCCGGTCAGGAGTGCGATGGGCTGCAGTTGGTTCGAAGTTTTTGGGTGCATGGTACCACTAATCCAATGCTGCTGACCCGTGGGTCCCCTACGTTCCCCTTGTACTGATGTCACTCCTCTTCTGGATCCTGAGAGTACCCCGGCACTGGACAGCAAACAGGAAGTGTCCACATCAGGCAGGCAGTGACATAGACACACTAAGAAGGACCCAGACAATTGTAAACAAAGGAAGAGCGAGGACGCGGAACCGAAGCGTCACATGACTGCGTATTTAGGAAGTAACAAGGGCATTAAGATCGTTTCTGGAGGTCTGCTTTGCATTATAAGTGTTGGGGCTTATTTATGACAAATTTATATTTCCCTCTTGTAGATCTTTTGACACCCAAGATAAAGTATCAGGTTCAGACAGAATCAGCAGAGGTTACCTGAGGTCTGTGTATCTGCTACCTGCCATTGCACACATTCACTGAGCAAAGGGAATATTTACTGAGATTAGTAAAAAAAATGTAAAACGTGAAAAATGGCCTGGATGGGAAGGGGGTTTAACACCGCGGATGTCAACTGGTTAATTTAATCGACCAAACATTTAAAATTTTTTTTTTTTTTTGTAATATTCTTTTTCCATTTGTAATAAGATTGTGTATGCAAAGTGAATGCAGGTTCACATTATTTACTAACATTCGCCTTGTATTTGAAATGCCTCTGTTCATTTAGTGAACCAACTCAGTGGGTGAGGTCAGACAAGTGGCTGTCACCCGTTCACACCAAAATCGGAAGGTAGTCGTAAGTCGACGAAGGGGTCAGTTGATTTGTGATGGTACCTTCTGATCCGTTGCGCTGCGATCTGTTTTGCAACGGATGCTAATGCAGGGCACTTGAAATAAATGGGGCTAGTTCACATTGAGCTGCAAAATAAGTAATGCATGTTCCAGGGTTTGTTTGTTTTTCAGCGTAATGGAGCAGTGGCAACTTGTACCATTCGCACCCATTAATTTTTTGGGTTACCTTCCATTGGCATCCGTTGAAAAAAATATTGCAATGGATCTGGTGAGGGCTCATCCACACCAAAGAAGGAAATCTCTAGTTAATGGAGGGTCCATTGACTTGCAATAGTACCTCCCAATTCCTTGCATTGCGATCCATTTTCCAATGGATGCTAATGGAAGGTAAGCCAAAAATGAATGGGTTCACATTGGTGGACAAGTAGTGCACGTTCTACCATTTTTTAATTTTCCCCCCCCGAGTGGAGCTGAGCAGTGTGAACAGTTCCCGTTGACACCCATTTATTTTTTAGGTTACCTTCCGTTGACATCCAATGAGAAACGGATCGCAACGGTTCTGGTGTGAATGGGGACTTCAGATGACGCTCCCATTCTGATTTCCCCAGTTTGTAACGTAAGATGTTACTATACTATTTTTTCCAAACTAAGCCATACCTGTAAAAGAAGACTGAATCTTCATCTTTCCTACTTGACGCCACATCCAAACGCCAAACTCTGATCCTAGAAATGTTCATGTGACTGCAGAAAAAGCAGCACTTCCGGGAGTGTCAATCTCTGGGTCCCCCCTCAGCTCTCACCGATTCCTCCTGCTGACAGGATATTGTAGTGATGTGGAGTTCAGCAGGAGGAACTGAGGAGACCCTTTGAGGTGTGCGGCAGTGCAGGTTGCAGGAAAGAAGTTTTTATATCTTCCTTTTATAGGTATAACTTGATTTGAAATATTTAGCATTGGAACAGGCTTGTTTTAAAGGAAGCTGTCAGGATGTCTATATGGGACCCTCTGTGTATCCCTTCTGGCAGTTTCCGTTTAAGTCTGAATTTTCATATTTGTCCATAAGCTCAGTCATGACTAGTTCTCTTTATAGGAGATGTCACGAGAGACACATGAAGGCTGTCATTGCTGGCCCCTTCTTAAAAGCCAGTCACCTGGCTGTCATGCTGACCCTCTTGCTGGAACTAATGTGCCAATGAGGGCCCCATTCACAGCAGCCGCTGCGTGTTGTGGTGCACATTACGTGCGCACACTTGTGTGCGACGTGATATAACATTGCATCACATTGCTTACTTTTTACATTTGTAATAGGCGTACATACAGTGCTCTTCGGTTCCATGCACACCTATATTTTAGGTGAAATTAGGGATTCCTGCTTCATGAACTTGCGATTTTCCTGCAGCAGGAATCCGTAACCTGCTGTTTACAAGCGGTAGCTGCAACCCATCCAAGTTAATGATCCGGTGACAGCCGCTGCATTTGAACACCGGCACATCACATGTAATTGTGAGTCCGCATCGATCGCGCATGTAGGGATTAATTTCTAACCGCAGGTAATTGTTTTAGATACGATTTACATGCGGTGTGCCGGCGTTCAAATGCAGCGGCCGTCACACGATCATTGACTTAAATGGGTGACAGCCGTCGCTTGTAAACGGCAGTTTAGGGATTCTTGCTGCAAATGGCAAGTTCCAGGCGCAGGAATCCCCAATCGCACCAACAATATAGGAATGAATGGGACCATAATCCGATACTGCTGAGACAGAGCCATACAACCTAACAGCTGTGTACTGTCAGGGTATACTTTATTACATACAGTGTGTGTGTGGTTCATTTAGAGGTGACCTCTCACTCCAAAGGTGATGGGGAAATGATCATAATCTGACAATCGAGATCAAAATCTAATCATGTGACCAGCCATAGAGATACAAATTTGCACGCTTACAGCGTTCCGCAATTAGTCTTTTAGTATCTAGTAATGTGCAATAACCATTAGCAGGCAATCAAATGTCAGTGCTGCAGTCATATCAGTTAGGTGATATCTGATTGGTTACTACACTTTGCCCTTACGTTTATATGTCTGATAGAACCTTGGTACGAGTGCTCTTAGCAGTGTTGGTAATCAGAAATTGTCATCAGCCAGATGAAGATAACACAGGTGCATTTGCATGCGTAGATCTTCGCACGCGGTATGTCAAGTGCACTCCACCGCAGCTGTCAAATGTGGTTGTGTTGATGTCATGAAGATTGGGCCTCCCGCACAAGGGGACTTAATTGCATATTGAAGCCCTAAAGAAAATGTCAAGTATGCATGTACAAGGAGGCTATCACAGTACAAGTGGTCCATAGTCTGTAATACATCATGGTACACTGCAAAGAAGGCTATCAAATACCTTAGAAAGCAGTTGTCTGTGATCATGTGACTGCAGGGGGGGCGTGGTTTTGAGAGGCGTATTGACAGCCATACTTGGGACAGGAGCCGCTGTTGGAAAAAACTGCAGGGGGCGTCAGCCTTTCATAGAACAGGACTCAGTGGGGTTGTATTACGAAAGGCGAATATGCCGTTTAATTTGCAGGGGCACTTTCCCATTAGCCTGGTGGTGATCACCTGACTTCCACCATCCAATCATGTGCAAGCAAAACATACAGTACCTTGTTTTTTGTTTTGGTCTTTTTTTTTCTTTGCTTACGATTGGGGTATTCTCTGCAAAGTTTAATTTCACCACATTCAGTAAGCGAAGTGCAAATTTCCTTGTAAAGTGAACAAGCCTATTTGCCTTTAGTAAACCAACCCCAGCATGTTGGCACG